GATAAAATGGCCATGAGGACAGGAAGATGACCACACACCAGACAAAGAGCGTGTGTTTATGAGGCAGGAAGAGGAAGAGGCACTGACGATATGGGCAGAAGTATATGATTCAAAAGCTGGCACAGGGTGCTCTCTTGGGCTCTTACCATGTCCCCCACCATTCGCCTACTCTCTGCTTCAGTACATTGTGACTCAACATAAGCAGAGCAAAGCAAACCAAAAGTCACGAAATGAGGGGTAAAATTTGGAGGAAATAAATAATTGTCTAATGGCTGTTTCCTAGCAGGATTTGCTAGGTGTGAACCCCATCCTTCTTGAAACTCTCTCGTCTTGCCTTCCAGGACCCCACCAGCTCTTTTTTTTCCTTCCCATATTTATTTCTCTTTCATTTATTTATTTATGTATTTTATTTATTTATTTTTGTTACAGATGTTTCTCCTTTCCCCCCGCACTGATTCCCCCTCCCCCTCCACTCCCCACCCTGTCCCCAGCTTTGTTGTCCATGTCCATTGTTCATGCACACATGCATATAAGTTCTGTGGTTTATCTCTCCCCCACCACCCCCTCTTTTGGGAATTGTCAGTCTGTACCCCACTTCCACGTCTCTGGGACTACCCCATTCCTCAGACTGTTATGTTCATTGTATTCCACAAATAAGTGAGATCATATGATGCTTGTCTTTCTCTGTTTGGCTTGTTTCGCTTAGGATGACACTTTCCAGGTCCCTCCATGTCGTCTCATCATCTCAAAGGATAAGAGATCTTTTTTTCTTACAGCTGCATAGTACTCCATTTTGTATATGTACCACAGCTTTTTTATCCATCTGTCTACTGATGGACATTTGGGCTGTTTTCAGATCTTAGCTATTGTAAATAGTGCTGCTATGCTAGCTCTTATTTCTTTTCCCTTCTGCTCTGGCCTTTCCTTGTAAATCTCCCATGCTGATTTTCCTTTTTCTGCTCAACACATACCTATTCAAGCTCCATGTGGCTCCAAGGCCCACCCTCTTCTCAGTCAGCATGCCCTATCCTGCTGATCCTATCCTGTTCTCCAGCATCAATTGTCCTCTGTATCTGATGCCATCCATGTTATCAGCTGGAGTTCTGACTTTTCATCCAAGCTCCAGATTCTTACATTTAATTAAACAACTCCATTTGCATATATCACAGGCACCCCCAACTCTAGGCTTCTAGCACTGACGCCACACTCTTCACCTATCCCGATGTGCTCCTCTTCCAGGGCTCTTTTTCCCATAATGACCTTATCACTCACTTTCCTGAGCCAGGCATCGGCGTAATTCTCGATGCTGTATCTCTTGAAGGGGTTATAGTTGACATCATATTTGCGGCTGTCCAAGAACTTTCAAATAATTCACGTGTTAACAGGTCCCACCTTCCCAACTCAGAAGTCAAACCCTCAGTTTTTCTTGCAGCCCAAATAGACACACGAGGCAGAGGCTTGCCTGTCACGTGTTCCCACATGAGGCCTGATTTGGAAGTCACCAACACAAGAACCGGGCTCCACAGGGGGTTTCCGATACAGTGGCTTCAACAGGTTAAAAAAAATTACATTATGCCAAAAATTAAAATAAAATAGTTAGCCAAAGTAGGTTCTGTTGTTTGCAGTAGAAATTTCGAACAATTCAAGACCTGCATTCTCTCTGGGAGAAAGTTTAGACGTCAGTGTTAGTGGTTGAGCTGTGAGAGGTGCAGGGAAGGATGGGGTGAGGAGAAACTAGCAATGGCTGGGATTGGGGAGCACGGGCCTGTCCTCTAGGGTTGTTGGTTTGTTTGTTCTGTCTGTGCTCCTACAAAGGGCTTCTGTATACTGGCATATAAAGTATATAAGTTATCCCCAAACATTCCAAGAATGCAGGGCAGAGTAATGGAAAGAGCATGGGCACTCACAGCAAAAAGGAATTGAGTTTAAATTTTATTTCCACCATCTACTAACTAGGTATTCCTGAGCAAGTGACTTGATCTCTCTCAGTTTCCGTTTCCTCAGTTTTGGGGTGTGATTATTATATTTACCACATAGTATTTTGTTGTTGTTTTTTTAAGGTTACATGAGGCAACATGTGGAGCGGACCGAGTGCTTAGTGGCTGAGTGATAATGGTTAGCTTTCTGTGCCAGAGACAATCAGGAACGCTAGGGGATGGATACAGTATTGACTATACGTGTCAACAGTCCCTGAAATTGACTATTTCATCCTATTGCCCTGGACTTCCACTTTTGTCTTTCTGCTTTATGAAAAGCTGATTCTTTCTAAGAGGACCAACCCAAGTACCCTTTCCCTATATTGAATCCTTCCAAAGTTCTATCGACTGGAAATAATGAATTCTACTTCTGAAATTGTATTATATTTTTATTGTAGGTCATGTTTGCAATTTTTTAATAGATCCTTAAGACGAACAAGTGGGAAGGTAGTTCAGTCAGCATCTAGTAGAGCCCCTTATGTTTTAATCTTTATTATTATCAAGTGAATATATTACTATGGATTAAAATTTAGTGTTACAAGGATGGTAAAAAGAGTAGTACCCTTACCAGTGCAACTGCTTTTAACCTCTTTTAATAATAGGCTTCATTTCTGGTTTTCATTTTCAGCCAATCCATTACCTATTGATTTTCTGTACTAGAAGATGAATATTACGTTTTCTTATACTTCTTTTTGGTGCATTGTGAGAGCCCTGCATCTCCCAAATACACATGATTCCCTCCTCCCATTTTCCCAGTATTTGGGTAAATCACTGGTGTTTCATATTACCATAATTATGTAAATAAACCTCACAGTGAAGCCAACTAGTCTATTATATTTACATTTTCTTCCTTATGTATCTTTAATTTTTTTATTGTCATGTCAATGACACTTCTCTAGTAATTTGTTCAATGTTTTGTCCTTATCACAAATTCTTTCCCAACTGCTAAAAGTGTAAAATTCCCCTCAAACTAAATTCACATAATTAATCACTAGTCACTCCTCTTTTCCTGCTTGAGTTTTATGTCCTCCCTCTCATCAATCTGCTTTCTGGCCCTGCACATGCCAGGGTTCAGGGACCTCCCTTCACCATCATACTGGGTTCCCTGAATACTTTTGTTTATTCCTTACATTTATATGCAATTAAGTATCACCTGAGTATAGGATACCAGGCTGAAAATTTGTTTTCCTTTAAATGTTAAAGAAATTGCTCTACTGTCTTCTAGTCTTCTAGCTTCTGGTGCTGCTGTCAAGATGGCCAATGCCATTCTTATTCTAAGTCCTTGGATGCGATCTAGTTTTTCTCCGGAGCATTTAAGATCTCATCTCCCCTTGGTATTTTGTCATTTAAAAATAATGTGCTTTGTATATGTTGTTCCTCCATTCATCAAACTAGATACTATTTCTTTGATAACTCCCTGTCCTCCATTTTCTTGGTTCACTCTTGCTTGAGCACCTATTAGCTGGTAATTATTCATCCTGTCATAAATCTCTAAATGTCCTATCTTCGCCTGCCTTTGTTTTCATCTCATTGTCTTATGGGTATGCTTATAAAGAGAATTCTTCGACTTTGTCCTCTACCACTCTATTAACTTTAAATTGTTCTGCTATCACATTCAGAAAACACATCTCTAAAAACTCTTTTGATATTTGTTCATTTTTCACATTTATTGACATCATCTTGATTCACTGATGCAATGTCATCTCTTATCTCTCTGATGACCCTCTCCGTATTTATACAGGGGTGGGCAAAGTAGGTTTATAGTTGTAATACAAATAAATAAAACAATAATTAATAATTAATAAATGCTAATGCAAGAATAAACTGTGTTTCATGTATTCACAACTGTAAACCTATTTTGCTCACATACATATACATATATACTCTCTTAGCAAATTTCCCCTGCTTTATCTCATTTCTTTTACGTTATTTTTTCAGTGGGTTTTTTTCTGTTTTGTTATTTATTTATTTTATTGTTGGAAGTATTACAGATGTCCTCCTTTTTTCCCCATTGATCCCCTTCTTCCCACTCCCACCCCACTCCTGCCTTCCCCAGCCTAGTGTCCTTGTCTATTGGTTGTTGATATATGTTCTTTGGTTTATCTCTTCCCTCCCCTTCCACCTCCCATCCCTCTGAGTTTTGTCAGTCTGTTCCCTGCTTCCATGATTCTGGATCTCTCTTTTGACAGTTTATTTTGTTTGTTATATTCCACAAATAAGTGAGATCATGTGGTACTTATCTTTCTCTGATTGGCTTATTTCACTTAGCATAATACACTCTGATCCCTCCATGTCCTCTCAAAGAATAAGAGATCTTTCTTTCTAACAGCTGCATAGCATTCCATTGTGTAAATGTACCACAGCTTTTTTATCCACTCTTCTACTGATGGGCGTTTGGGCTGTTTCCAGATCTTAGCTATTGTAAATAGTGCTGCTATAAACATAGGGGTACATATATTCTTTCTGATTGGTGTTTCAGTCATCTTAGGATATATTATAAAAAGTGGGATCACTGGGTCGAACGGCAATTCAATTTTTAATTTTTTGATGAAGCACCACTTTTTTCCATAGTGGCTGCACCAGTTTGCATTCCCATCAGCAGTATTCTAGAGTCCCCTTTTCTCCACATCCTTGCCAGCATTTGTGTGTGTGTGTGTGTTTATTTTAATAAAGTTAAAAGTTTTTTTGAATGTGATTTATGTCTGTTTATACATATTTAAGAGTTAAAAAGCACATACACACAAAGTGATTGGAATTCTTTGTGTTTGAACCAAGTGCTTATTTAGAGGTTGGTTTCATTATAGAATTAACAGGAAAGGGCCTAGAGCAATACAAAGGTATTGGGGGACCCAAGATGTCAATCACTATAATGATTTTCCTTCTCTTGGGCCATTTAGTTCTGTGGGATGCTCCAGTCTTCCGCTTCTTGCACAAATCTGCCTGTCAGTACTGCGTCAAGGAAGAAAGTGCTTGGAGATCCCACTTTTGTCTGCGTAGAATTTCACTTAAAACTTTCTTTTTCAGCTTGTTGCCTTCACAACACCCTCTGTGCCCAGCATTCTGGAGGATGAGTACTCATCTGGCTGCCCTGAATATAGGAATGTGCCTCTTCCACACAGAAACCTTCAGTAAGTGCACCTTTTCCCAGCTTCATCCCTCATCCATCCACCTTTCACAGAACCCGAAGGCTTGACCCACTAAACCTCTCTGGGGTTGTGTGGGGTGAACATAATTGGTTCTTACTGGGGTGTCCCTCTCAGTTATCCCACATCCATTCACTTTCTACCTTTCATACTTTTTTCAGTTACTTTTTTGTTTTGTTTTTTAATTAAATTTATTGGGGCGACATTGGTTAAAAATTATATGGGTTTCAAGTGTATAGTTCTGTAATACATCATCTGTATATTGCATTGTGTGCCTACCACCCAAAGTCTAATCTTCTACCAAGACCATATATTTGACCCCCTTTACTACCCCCAGCTCCTTCCCTCTGGTAACAACCACAATGTTGCCTGTGTCTATGAGTTCTTATTTGTTTTCCTTGCTTGTGTATTTGTGTAAAAATGTGGTGTTAATTCATGTGAATTGTTGACTTTAGCCTTTGTGGGTTTCATTCATCTAATTAATTAACAAATATTTTTATGAGTACCTCCTGTATGCCTGGCACTGTTTCATGTGCAATGGATACAGTAAGCAGACAGACAGAAATCCCTGCCCTTATGGGGCTTACACTTCACGCTTGGAAGTCAGAGAATAAAACAAACACATGAAATGTATAGTATGTCAGATGATGGTCAATGCTATGTATTTGGAAAAATAACATAAGTGTTTTTTTGTTTTTGTTTTTTGCTTTATCACTTCATTTTTTTTACCCAGCCCCCCAACTCCTTCCCCTCTGACAGCTGTCAGTCTGTTCTTCATATCCATGCGTCTGTTTCTATTTTGTTTGTTAGTTTATTTTGTTCATTAGATTCCACATGTAAGTGACATCATGATACTTGTCTTTCTCTGACTGGCTTACTTCACTAAGGAGACTCTACTTAGGGTGAGGAACACATAATGCAAATGTATTATAGAATTGTACACTTAAAACCTATGTAATTTTATTAACCAATTTTGCCCCAGTAAATTCAATTTAAAAAAAGAGTCAGTGAGACTCCCCTCAGAAAAAAAAAAAAATAACGTGAAGAAGGGGTAGAGAACGTGTTGATAGGTGAAAGTCTCACTGATAGAGTACTAGTTGAGCCAACATCTGGAGTGTGTGGAAGAAGAGGTTCTGTAACTCTCGGAGATTACTGGAGATTGGTTAGTACTCTTCCTCCTGTAGATGCTCTCATAGCACCTTGAATATGCTGACATTATAACATTATCACCATGCAGTGTTGAAATTATTGAATTTCACGTCTATTTTCAAGACCTGGCAGAGCCACTCAATATCTGGGATCTTGTCTTATTAATTTTTATATTTCCAGAGTCTAAATCATCATTATTAGGTATTCAGTAAATATTTTTTCTAGCTGTATTGAGGTATAATTGACAAATAAAATTGTAATATATTTAAAGTGTACAATGTGATGATTTGATGTACATATACATTATGAAATGATTAACACAATCAAGTTAACTAACACACCTATCACTTTATAAAGATGGGGAACTCAAGAAGTTAAAAACCTTCTGGCTTTAGTTACATAGTTAATAGGCTGGGTAATTAAGGTACGTAGAAAGCTATTGTTCCGGCAACTGTAATGTATGCCGGGACCTACCCTGACTCCAGGAGACCCATAAACAATTCCACCTTTGTGCCTCAGGAGGACCACAGGTGATCAAGATGGTATCTGAGCCACGGTGGGTGTTGCGGGGAGAGAATGTCTTCCGCCCAGGACCCCAGCGCGCACATAAAGGATCACTGGTCAGCCGATGAAGGGATGGTAGGAAAATCACCAGACTGCAGCTTTTAGCTTATTAACTTTTCCCCTGAATTTTAAACCCCTTACCTACTTTTTCCTGAATTCCAAACCCTTTACCTACACTGTTCTTCTTTTTATAGAATAAAGTCGGCTGAGATGAGATGTAAGACAGCCTTTAGGGTACATGACCTCCCGTCTTCTCAGATTCCTGGCCATCTAATAAAGCTCCCATAAAGATTCAATCATTTTCTCCACTTACTGGTTCTGGTAGTGACAGAAAGCATGAATACTGACTTTTTCAGTTTCAAAAACACTTAATATATACTCTCAGCAAATTTCAAGTATATAATACAGTGTTATTAACTATTTTCACCATGATATATATTAGATCCTCAGACCTTATTTATATTATACCTGAAAGTTTATACCTGTTGATCAACATCACCTCATTTCCTTCACCCTCCTTCCCCTGGAAACCACCATTCTACTCCATATTTTTATGAGTTTGACATTAAAAAAAAATAGATTGTACATATAAGTGACAACATACAGTACTTGTCTTTCTCTGGCTTATTTCACTTAGCATAATGCCCTCCAAGTGCACCCATGTTTTAAAAAATGTCAGAATTTCTTTCTTTTTATGGCTGAATAATATTTCATTGTATATATATATATATATATATATATATATACACACACACATACATACATACATACACACACACACATATATATGCACAAAATTTTATACACAATTATATATATAATTTTTTGTTCATTTATTTGTTGACATACATTTAGGTTGTTTCTGTGTCTAGGCTATTGTAAATATGCTCCGATGAACATGGGAGTGCAGATATCTCTTAGATTTTTATTTCTTTTTTGTTAGATATTTACCTAGAAGTGGGAATACTGGCTTACATGATGATTCTATTTTTAACTTTTTGAGGAACGTCTATACTGTTTTTCCTAATGGCTGTGTCAATTTACATTCCCACCAGCAGTGTACAAGGGTTCCATTTTCTCCAATTCCTCTCCAGTTTTTGTTACTGCTTTTTAAAATATAATATACATTCTAACAGGTGTGAAGTGAGTGATATCTCATGTGATTTTAATTTGCATTTCCCTGAGATTAGTGATGTCAAGTACCTTTTTTATATCCCTATTGGTCATTCAAGTTTTCACTTCCTCTAGCCTTTGGTCTGAGATTCTCCTTTCGGTCTGGGGATAAAGGCAGGTGTGTATTAGAATTACACGTGAAGGTTTTCAGATGTTCCAGAGTCTATATAACTTTTAAAGTCCCTTAGATTGTTCAGATATACTCCCTGAGCATGCTTGCTAGTTTAGGCTCTCTGAAGAGAAGGCAGCAGACACATGTTTGTTGATCACACCAGTGATCAGAAGCTAAACACCGTGGTGGAGTTGGATTAGAGAGGAGGACTGAATGGTTTCTGCACAGGAAGAGAAGACTGAGGAAAAACCCAGCCATGCTCTTCACATCCATAGGTCTTTAACCTGAACAAATAGGCATCAGCTCTGAAAGAATGGATCCACTTCTGTTTAACTGTCACGTTAAGCCACAAACCCTTATGTCTTTGAGCCTGTGTTTTTCCTCTTAAGCTTCAGCCTCCATGTCCATTTCAATACCAGCGGATCTGTAAGACAGATCATTATGCCAGAATTCCCCTGATTGGGTCACCAGATTACCTTCCAGGACAGTGACCCACTTTACTTGACTCAAACCCCTACATAACACTTGGGAATCTCCCAATAAAGAATGTGTCTCCTTGCCCTGGCCGGTTTGGCTCAGCGGTAGAGCGCTGGCCTGCAGTCCAGAGAGACCCGGGTTCGGTTCCCGCTTAGGGCATGTACCTCGGTTGCAGTTTGTCCCCGGCCCTGGTTGGGTCGTGTGGGTGGCAACCACTCGATGTGTCCCTTTCATGTCGATGTTTCTCTCTCTCTCTCTCTCTCTCTCCCTCCCACTCTATCTGAACAAAAAATGGAAAAATGTCCTCGAGTGAGGATTAAAAAAAAAAGAATGCTTCTCCTTGCACAGTACAGGGCCTCATCTTCCTGACCCCAGGTCCATCTGAAAAGCCTCTGGTTTGCCCTAGTGGGCTCTGTGGTTTGGTTTCACGTCCGTGATATTTCTTTATCATCTGTTACCCCAGAATTCTCTCTTTGGCAAGGAAAGCTCCTCCATTACCGTCTTATACCTCTACCTTTCCCATACTTTTTCTTTTAATGTCTCTATCCTTTAAAAAAGATATCCACTCATGTTCCCTTTCAACCTCAAATACAGGTAGCCACCTTCAATCCCAGCTAAAACTGTTATTTATCATAACGTGTACTACTCTCTATGTACTTCTGTTACTTTTTATACTGATAACTAACTTTGACCGAGTGATTGCTCATTGCAAGGCTCTGTAACACGTTCGTGACTTACCTTCATGGAATGATCTTATTCTAACAGTAATCCTCCAATGTAGAAGATACAATTTTTTCCATTTTACAGTTGAGGATATGGGCACTTTGAGGAAGGTTGTAATTTTCCAGATGTCACACAGCTAGCAGATGGCAGAGACAATGCTGGAGTCTCTCTCTGCTGTCTGTACAGCTGTCAGCCTTAGGCAGCAAGTGAACAGGGTGTGAAATCCTGGGGGTTCAGAAATCCTGGGCTGAGGACGATGGGCACCACTTCTTCATCACAGATGCCACACATGACTTCCTTTGTTTCACAAGGTGTGTGTCAAAGAAATATCATTTTAAGTTATCATTTCCTTAATCAATTTTTTTATTATTCTGTACCAGCAATTGTTTCTTCCTACTAGCTCATTCTTATCGACATGAAAAACATGTCATTTCTTCCCTGTTAGACAAGCAAGCCAACAAACAACAGGACCTCTCTCAAACCCACATGTCCCTGCAGCTTTTACCACATTTCTCTGGCTCCTGCACAGAAAAGGGATCATTTTACCTGTATTCTCCCTTTTCTTCACTACTGCATCACAACTGCTCTTATCAATGTCACCATTGACGCCACACTGTGGCACATTGTGTCATTTCTGCAGTCCTCATTTTACCTGGCATATTGGAAATATGTGACCCAGTTGATCCCTTTATCTGCTTAAGAATTATCTTCTCTTAACATGCTACCTGGTTTTTATTCCCCCTTATCATCTATGCCCTTATGGTCTCTGTGGCTGGTCAACCCTCATCCCTTACTCTAAACACCATAGTGACCCAGGACTTAGCACAGACTTCTTTCTGTCTATACTCCCTCCTTTGGTGAAGTCACTTATTCTCTGGCTTTATCTACTCCTACCTGTATACTAATGACTTGCAATTTTATTTATCTCCTGAACTCTACCTGCATACCTGAAACATGCTCCTGAGCTCTAATAGGCATCTCAATCTTAACATGTTCAAACCCAAATCCAATTTGCTCTAACGTACTCCACACCTGCTCCTCTGACATCCTTCCCCCTCTCAGTATAAATAGCAACTTGATTCTTTCCAGGTACTCGGTCCAAAAATCCATGTATTTTCTTAACTCCTCTTTCACACTTCATATCCTATCTATCAGTGAATCCCATTTATATATATATATAAATTTATATATATATATAAATTTCAAATCCATCCATGTATTTCCACTGCTACTCTCTTGGTGATGTTGAGCATTTCTTCATATGTCTCTTGGCCATTTGTATGTCCTTTTAGGGGAGGTGTCTATTTAGGTCCTCTGCCCATTTTCTAATTGGGTTCTTTGTCTTGCTTTTGTTGAGTTGTGTGAGCACTCTATATATACTGGAAATTAACCCCTTATCTGATATATCATTGGCAATTATGCTCTTCCATACAGTGGGTAACCTTTCCTTTTTGAAGATTGTATCTTTCGCTGTGCAGAAGCTTTTGAGTTTGAGGGCACCTTCATCTCTCACCTGCATTATAACAGCAGCCACCTAACTGGTCTTCTTGCTTCCATCCTTGCTGCCGTTCAATATATTCTTAACCAGGCAACCAGAGTGATGTATTGAAAATGTAAGTCACATATATGTTGCACATTTCTGTTCAAGACGCTCTAATTTCAACCAGAGAACAAATTGCCTACCAGACCCGACATGATCTGGCCTAATGCTTCCTCTCTGATGATATTTATCTACCTTTCCCCCTTGTTCTTCCTCTCCAACCACACCGATTTAACGTTCCTTGAATGTTCCAGAAACATTTTTGTTTCAGGCCCCAGCACTTTCCCTTCTTTCTTCCTAGAGTTCTATTTTCTCTGAAAGCTGCTGGGTTGCTTTGTTATCTCCTCAGTTCTCTGCTTACATTTACTTTTCCCATTTCTGGTCTCCACCTTTCCCGACACTCTGTTTAGGTTAGCAACTCCATCTCCTAGTCCTGCACTTCCTGCCTTCCCTGCTTTATTTTCCTCCACAGAACTTATCACCACCTAAGGCACTTTTAATATACTTGTTTATTTGTTGGTTTTTAGTTTCCTCTACTAACAAAGAAGCTCTATGAGACCAAATATTTTTTGTCTCTTTTGTTTTTGTTTGTTTACAGGTCCTAGAACACTATAGAAACAATGAAGGTATTTGTTAAACATTTGTTGAATTAAAAAATAGATAAATAAATCTCTCTTCCAACCTTGCAGAAGCAAGAGAATGATTGGCTGTCTGTGCATGTGTGTGTGTGTGCATGTTTGAGTAATAGAAGCCAGACCTAAATGTTGGGGAGAATATTACTCAGCTGAATTATCAAAGCCAAAGATTGATGTTAACCTGAGAACTCAATTTCTTTTGGTTATTTTCATTTCTTTTAATGGTGAATTCCACCTGATTTCTAAATTGGTTGTGGCCATGGCATGGAGTAAGCATGGGTTAGCTCACTAATTAGAGGAATTTAGAACTTGTTAGTTTATCTTGCTGTCATTAGATTCAGTAGTACACATCAATTGTACTGATATTTTATTCTCCCTTTGTATTCATCCTTTCTAGCTGAATTGACTTGGTTTGTACAACTAAGTGAGAGCCTACCTCTGTTCCGAGCTACACATTTCATCCTCCTAAGAGTAAAATTCTCTAAACCATAACTTGGTTGGTATAGTCTTAGACTCTGACCCCCTGCACTAACAGCCTGGATTCTCCTACATCTGCTAAGGAAGATCTTTCATGACAGGTCAGAGGCTTGAAGAATGGACCAGATTTCCATCTGACTCCGAGTTCTACATCCTACCTAGTCTCTGGGTTTAAAGTATCATCACTTTCTGCCTCATTGAATTTTCTCAGTTACTGATGTATTCTGAGCCAAACTTCTTTTTGTCATGTCTCTTTGATTACAGTACCCTGGAATGCTGACTATCTCCAAAAGACTGAGCCCTTCTCTGTGTCAGCACCCCCAGTTTGTCTCAGCTGATCTCATCTTGTTCACCCTTAACCTCAGTCTGCATTCCTCACAATCTTTAGCCTATTTAATTTATGCCAGCCAGGTTGCTATGAAGTTAAAACACAACAAATGACAGTGATTTAGGAAAATAGGGAACCAGGGAACCAGGGAAACAGGACAGGTGATCAAAGTGAGGAGTACATTACATGGGAAGGTGCATAAATGAGTTGGGCCATAAACCAATTGGATACTTGAATATCTCTGCCCTAAAATCCTAAAAGCATCTCAAACATAATGTATCAGAACTTCTCCCACCAATGCCTCTTAGTTTACAGTAAATGTGTTCCCCTTTTTTTATTTTAATTTTCCACCTAGTTTTCCAAACTAGAAACCTAATATAATAATTGTTTCTCTCTCTCTCTTTCACCTTCAATTGTTAATTAGTGCCTGTGGATCAATGTCCCTGAACTCCAATCCATCCTCTTCCACACTGTCATTTATTTTTGTAATTTCTTAAGGTTGAGTATCTATCCTTCAAACTCCAAATCCAAATACTAAAAATATAAGTCACGTTGAGAGCAATTTAGATTCATCATGGGGAATGTGGTTCTTTGGCAAGAAGAGAACTTGGAGAGGACAAAAAATCCACACACCTGCATTTGGGTTGGACCACACACAAACCATGGACCATTGTCTCTCTAATGGCAGCATGACGTGGTAGAAAGACATTGCTTTTGTAATCAACAGATGTATATCAATCCAGGCTCTACCACTTAATTGTCTGTGTATTATTGGACAAGTTATATAGTTACTCTGATTTTCAATTTCTTATTTGTGAAATGGAGATAGTAACTTCTACATCAAGGCATTGCTGTGTAGGTTAAATTTGTTAATTTATACCAAAGTAGTCACTGAACCTATGCTCTGTGCCAATCATTCTTCTAAATTCTAGGAATACAGCAGAAAACAAAATAGACAAAGATCCTTGCCCATGCAGAGCTCACATTCTAGTGGGTGGAGACATAAAAAAAATGAATAAAATATGTAGACAAAAAGTGATCAGCTAAATTTTAGACAAGAAATTTTGAGAGAGTTGATATTAACAAATATTTTTTCAACATGTATTTATTTAATATTTAATTGTGTTCCGGATGCTGTTCTAAGAGTGAGGTATGCAGCCATGAACAGAAAAGTATCTGTCCATATGGCAGGTCTATTCCAGTAGAGACTGACAACTAAAAATTAAACAAATAGCAATAGAGTATATACCTTAATACAAAGTAGACAAGTACTATGAAGAAAAGCAATTGGTGTAAGGTAAAAAAAACTAATGAGTCATGTCTGATTTTACAAAATGTGTTCAGGAAAGGTTGTGCTTAGAAAGGGACAACTGAAGAGAAATCTAAATACAGTTGGGAAACAAGGTGCGCAGATATTCCAGGTACACAGATTTAAATGATGTAGGCAAAGAAAATAATTACTAACATTGGAATAGTAAAAGGACTAGATAATTGGGGAATATGTGCCTTTCTAAACTAGCTGCTTCCTCCTCCTCCTTTTTTTTTTTTTTTTTTAAACAGGGAATCATAATATGCACTGTGCACAAAAAGGCAGTTGGCAATAAAAACAGCAGATGACCTGGATTAAGAAGACTTGAATTCAGGCCTTCTTACTTCCTTTTACTACCTGTATGGCATCAGGTAAGTATCCACTGCAGATACCTAATTTAATCAGTAATAATTAGGAGACTACAGTAATTGAAAACTGGTGTGTGTCAGGCACACCATGCTGAGTATTTACACCCTCTGTTTTTCAAGCAACACTAAAGGTAGGAATTAACACCCCTATTTCAGAAGTAAGTATGTGCTCCCTGAATGTTTTCTTTCCCATCTTCCAGGCTTTATGGGAAAGCACTTTGTAAAGTGTCAGGTGCTATCTGGTGTTTAGTTATTATGCATAGTGCAGTATCATGCTTCTCACACTACAGAGTGTGTACTCCTGGGGTCAGGAGGCTACCAAATAGATCTAATTGCATTTCCTTTGGGGATAAATTTTACCCAATGACAAATTCTTTAAAACATTTTTAAGTAAACAGATATTATGAAGTAAAATGCAAATTTTACATTTTAAAGATAAAAACCAAATATCAGAGCTATAGACATACATGAAATTAAATTTGACAGTTTTCCTTTATGTTTTTTTCCCTTTATACCTTGTTTATTTTTTATTTTATTTTATTTTCTATTTTTCAAGTTTGTTTTTAATTTTATTTATCTTTATTGTTGAATGTATTACAGATGTTTCCCCCATTGACCCCCTCCTCCCCACTCCCCACCCCCTTCTGCCTTTTCCCACACTGTTGTCTGTGTCCATTGGTTATGCATATAAGTTCTTTGGTTCATTTCTTCCCATCCCCCAACCCCCTTCCCTTTGAGGTTTGTCAGTCTAGCAACCAATTTGTTCTTCTTAATCCCTTCACCTTTCTCACCCATTCTCCCAACCCCTCTCCCATCTGGCAACCAACAAAATGTTCTCTGTATCTATAAGAATGTTTCTGTTCTGCCTATCCATTTTGTTGTAGATTCAATTGTCGATAGATATGTATTTATTGCCACTTTGTTTGTTCATATATTTTATCTTTTTCTTCAAAAAGACCCTTCGACATTTCATATAATAACAGTTTGGTGGTGATGAACTTCTTTAACTTTTTCTTGTCTGGGAAAGTCTTATATGGCCATCGATTCTAAATGACAGCTTTGCAGGATAGAGTAATCTTGGTTGTAGGTTCTTGCTTTTCATCACTCTGAATATTTCTTGCCACTCCCTTCTGGTCTGCAAAGTTTCTTTTGAGAAATCAGCTGAGTGTCTTATGGGAACTCCATTGTAGGTAACTATCTGCTATTCTCTTGCTGCTTTTAAGATTCTCTCTTTGTCTTGAACCTTTTGCATTTTGATGATGATGTGTCTTGGTGTGGGCCTCTTGGGGTTCATCTTGTTTGGGACTTTCTGTGCTTCCTGGATGTGTATGTCTGTTTTCTTCACCAAGTTAGGGAAGTTTTCTGCCATTTTTGTTTCAAATAGGTCTTCGATTTCTTGTTCTCTTTCTTCTCCTTCTGGTAACCCCAAGATGCAAATGTTGGCATGCTTGAAGTTGTCCCAGAGGCTCCTTACACTATCCTCATTTTTTTTATCCTCACCCGAGGACACTTCTCGAAATTTTGTTCAGATAGAGTGGGAGAGAGAAAGAGAGAGGGAAAGAGAGAGAGAGAGAGAGAGAGAGAGAGAGAGAGACATCGACGTGAAAGGGACACATCCAGTGGTTGCCACCCACACGACCCAACCAGGGCTGAGGACAAACTGCAACCGAGGTCTGTGCCCTTAGCGGGAACCAAACCTGGGTCTCTCCAGACCACAGGCCAACGCTCTAACTGCTGAGCCAAACTGACCAGGGCTATCCTCATTTTTTTGGATTCTTTTTTCTTTTTGCTGTTCTGATTGGGTGTTTTTTGCTTCCTTATATTCCAAATCAATGGTTTGCTTCTTGGCTTTACCTACTCTATTATTGAACCTGTGTAAATTATTCTTTATTTCAGTTAGTGCCTCTTTCATTTCTAACTGTGCATCCTTCATTTCTGACTGGTCCTTTTTTATGCTCTTGAGGCCCTCACTAAGTTCACTGAGGTTCTCACTAAGTTCATTGAGCATTTTATAAGCAGTATTTTGAACTCAGCATCTGTTAGGTTGCTTATCTCTATTTCACTTAGCTCTTTTCCCGGAGAGTTTTTCTGTTCTTTCATTTGGGACCTGTTTTTTTGTCTCCTCATTTTGGCTGCCTCCCTGTTTTTGTTTCTATGTATTAATTAACAAGAGGTATGGGGCTCACTGAGACCAAATGCTGCTTATTTGAGAGAATTTAGGAAAACCTGAAGCAGGATCCAAGACAGGCTAATCCTGTGGTTAAGCAACTGGCAACAGCTTGGGTGGGCCTTAAAGTTGGGTGGGGTGGGGCCTCAGGGAATCACCAGGGCAGGGCAACCAGTGTGAGCCAGGTTGCTGGAGTCCCAGATATGGGGACTGTCTGCCGCCCCAGGGAAGGGCTCACCAAAGGAACAAAGGCCTCTGACAGCAGTTTGTCCCGGAGAAAGCCCCCTCTTTAGCCCTCGCTCCAATGCCAAACAGCTCATTTCTTCCCTGTATGTCTCTGGCGCCCCATTGAGCTGCCTCCCCTCCAAGCTTAGAGGGAGTGAGTCCAATAAGTCTGTGCGCGGGTCCTTTAAGAGGTGCTGCCTGGGGCTCCAGCTGCCTCAGCCTCCCTGAGCCTCAGTTCCCACTGATTTTTCCAGCCACAAGTTATGGGGACTTCTCTTCTTGGCACTAGAACCCTGAGCAGGGCGCTTGGTGTGGGACAGGGACCCCTCAGTCCTCAGGGAGGACCTTCCCAGCCAAGGTATCCTCCTGATTTTTATCCACCACACATGGGTGTGGGACCAGCCTATCTGCCTCCACCCCTCCTACCGGTCTCGATGTGGTTGCTTCTTTAATTCTGTAGTTGTAGGACTTCCATTCAGCTTGATTTTAGGCGGTTTTGAATGACAGTTGTTCTGTAGTTGTAGCTCTGATGTGTTTGTGGGAGGATGCAATACTGCATTTACCTACGCCGCCATCTTGACTGGAAGTCCCTCCCTTTATACCTTGTTTAAAACTTACCTACCAAACTTCAGTGTAATGTCAACTGCTGGTTGTTGATGCCAGTTCAATATAAACAGGAATACCCAATTTGGGGTGCAGTGAAGAAGGAAACTATTCTTTGTAAACAACTCAACAGTGTTACAGCATGGCTGTGGAACAGCTGTGGAGCCAGGCAGCTCTGGGGCCGGGCCTCTCTCCAGCTGGGCATCACTGCTCTGGGCTAGGCAGCTCTGTTCTGCTCCATGGTTCTGTCCAATGATGATCAGCTCTGCTCTGGTGTTTCAGCTCTAGCCAGGAACCCAGTCTTCAGTGGAAAGTGCACACCTGAGCCAGAGGGGAGGTGGCTCATGTGGACAGAAGTCACTGCCCCAGTCCTGCCTCATCAAAGGAGGACTCTGAATCTTTGAAGTTTCATTGGCTTGGAAGGCACTCTCCTGATTGGTCAGAATAGAGCCACTCTGATTGGTCAGAGCAACACAGCTCTGATTAGCTAGGAAAGCCTCAATCCTATTGGTGGAAATATGAGTCCAGGAAACCTTTATAAGGGCTGGCTCGGTGGCAGAAACAGTGCTGTCAGGCTTTTAGCACAGAGGCTTCTCCATGAATTGAAGTTTCCATTAGAGGTCCCTGTACAGAAATGGTTGCTAGGCTCTGCATTTTTTTTAAAAAAAATTGAGCCCATTTAGCCACCAGGAACCCTTCTTAGTAGGACTCTCTCTCTCTCTCTCTCTCTCTCTCTCTCTCTCTCTCTCTGTCTCTCTCTCTCTTTCTATAGGGTTTACAGTACTAAGAGATTACCCTGTGTTTTCTTAAACAGCATTGCCATTCCTATCTATGTATTTAATCATATGTATATATAAAAATAAATGTTAGATAAGACCAGTATTATCATTTCCCATATAGATTATCATTTCTCCCAACACCTTTTACTTATTATTTTTAAATTTTTTTAATCCCCACCTGAGGATATTTTTCCATTTATCTTCAAATAGAGTGGGAGGGAGGGAAGGAGGGAGGTAGAGAGAGAGAGAGAGAGAGAGAGAGAGAGAGAGAGAGAGAGAGAAACATCAATATGAAAGAGACACATTGACTGACTGGCTGCCTCCTGCATGACCCTGACCAGGCCGGGGACAAACTGCAACCAAGGTACATGCCCTTGACCACAATAAAACCTACGACTCATTGGTCTGCAAATCGAAGCTCTAACCACTGAGTAGACTGGCCACGGCCCAACAACTTTTATAGCTGTCTGATTGCTAATGTTACTCAGGTTATATACCATGTTTTCATGTATATGTGGTTCTGTTTTCACATTCCCTATTAGTTGATTCTTTCCTGAGCCACTAATCATATTGCTTTAATTATTATATATTTATAATAAGTGTTAATATTTAGTAAGGATAGTAGTTCCTAATAAACATTTAAACTTATTTGGGGTATTTTTTGTCTTTACTCTTTCACATAGGTTTTAGGATCATCCTGATAAGTTCTACAGAAAGATTTTGCATGAAGTGTATAGGTTTATTTGGTAAGAATAGCAATTTTAATTTAATTGAATCTTTCCATTCAAAATATCATATATATTCTCATTTATTTAGGTTTTTGTATAAGTCTTTCAATAAAGTTTTAGCATTTCTTAAAAGTCTTACATAGATTTTGTTAGACATTCTTAAATATTTTGTAGTTTTGTTGTTATTGAAAATTATACATTTTTATTTAATATTATTTCTTATTGGAATGTTGCTAAAATAAAAGACTGCAATTTTTGTGGATTGGTTTTATATCTGGAAACATTGCTGAATAATTATTTGTAATTTAGTGTATTATTTTGGATATTACACATAGTAAAATTACTACAATGTGGTACTGGCAACATGATGGAGAAATCTGTGGAACAGAAGAACAAAGAATCCAGACATCGACCCAGTTATATATGGACAATTGATTTTCAATAAGGGTGCAAGAAAAATTCAGTAAAGAAAGAACTGTATTTTCAACACCATGTACATTTTCAACTGTATTTTCAAGGTGTATATAATTCTGAGAAAACTTATATCCATGTGAAAAAGAATGAACTTTGAATCACACCATATACAGAATAACTCAAAATAGATCATAGACATAAGTGTAAAAACCACAAACTATAAAATTTCTAGACCAGGGGTGGGGAACCTTTTTTCTGTCGAGGGCCATTTGGATATTTATAACATCATTCAAGGACCATACAAAGCTATCAATTGAAAAATTAGCCCACTATATTTGGTCAAACATTTAATTAACTCACCCCTAATGTGATGGCTGAAACTGCTTCTCTTTGGTGAGACGTGGGATGTTAGCTGGTATTGATGATGTTGCTACTTGCAACTGCTTTTCCAGGTTTGTGTTGGTCAGGCTGGAGCAAAGTCACTTTGTGATGGTAAGTTTTGAAAAGAACTGCTTGCAGCAGTAAATTCTTCTGAACACAGATGCACATTTAATGTATGTCTCCTCAAAGTGGGAAATTCATCATTGCTTATGTAATGTTTATAGATAGAACTCTAGCAGGGGGAGGTTGTTGTACCTAGCTTTTAGCTCATCATCGCTTTGCAGCTGAATGATTTTGTGTTGTAGGTTATCAAGCACATCAGCTGGTTTCACATTGAACAGTGTAGCAAAAATATTTAATTCCATTTGTTTACTTTTTACATCCTTGAATCTTTCACTAAATGCCCAAATTAGTTTTGCACATTCACCAGCATATTCAATGTCTTAGAAGGCTTTTGCTCTTCCAGAGGGGGGAAATGCATGGTGTTATTTCTTTTGAGTTACATTTTCCACAGCCTTAATTTAGCTTCAAATAATGTCATGTTTGAAAGCAGAGAGCTAAGAAGCTAGTTGGGGTCCTGCAGCTTGACATTCAGATCTGAGAGGTACTTAGTAATGTCCACCAGGAATGCTAAATCACACATCCACTTGCTATCATTGAGTTCCCTGACAGGTTTTCCCTTCATCTCTATGAATTACTTGACTTCATCCTGCAGTTCATAAAACCTCATGAGCATGTTCCCATGTCTCAGCTACTGTACTTCACAGTGATAAACAAGATCATAGTACTCAGAGTCAAGATCATTCAGTAACTCCTTAAACTGGCAGCTGTTAAACCCTTTGTTGTTGACAACATTTATGCATGATGCTACTGTTGATATCACATTGTTGAGCTACAACGGCTATGCACAGAGACTTTCTTGGTGTATGATGCAGTGGCATATTATCACATCACTTGGATCAAGTCTGAGATGATTCAGTTCTTTCTGGAGAAATGCAATTAATCCTTTTTGCCAGCCAACCATAGCTGGAGCTCCAAAGTAGTAAGGCCACTTAACTTTTCAAACATTAGCTCAAGATTTTTAATTGATAAAACAAGTCTCAAACAAATCCTCACCTCTTGTAGTGCCATCATGGCTTCCAGTGACAGCAGTTCCTCTAGCACGTCAAACTCTGCAGTAATCCCACAAATGAAAACAGGCAGTTGGGCAGTATTTGTTATGTCTGCTGTCTTGTCATAAGCCAGAGAGAAAAACTGGAAATCTCCTGCAGTATCCTTCAGTGTTTTTTCAGTATCTTGTGCTAAATCAGTAATCCGATCTGAGAGGATTCTCTGACAAACTAACACTGAAAAATTTTTACTTTGTCTGGTGCTAACAACTCTGCTGCAGCCACCATGCACTCTCACAAACTCTCCCCCTACAGGGGACCTCAGCTTCTTTGAAATTAGCTCACTCACTTCATAACTCATCTGAATAACAGGGTCTTTGTCACAACAAGGCCTAGTGAAAGCAACTTGTTGTGATTCCAAACTCTGCTGAAGAGCATTGATTTTATCCAGATGCATTTGGCCTCCCAATTCATTGAGTTTAGCATGTTTTGAGCTATAATGACGCTCCATATTGGCTTTTTTCATTACCGCTAATGCACTGCCAAACAAACTAGCCACACAGATTTGGAAGATTGTATAATTATAGGAATTTTTCCATTTTACCTAGGCTGTCCACTTTGTTGACATATAATTGTTCATTGCATTTTCTTACAATCCTTTGTATTTCTGTGGTGTCAGTTGTTACATCACCTTTCGTTTCTGATTTTTTTTTTTCATTTAAGTCCTCTCTCTTTTTTTTTCTTGCTGAGTCTGGCTAAAGTTTCATCAATTTTGTTTATTTTTTTTCAAAGAACCAGCTCTTGGTTTCATTGATCTTTTGTATTAATTTTATAGTCTCCATGTCATTTATTTCTGCTCTGGTCTTTATTATCCCTTTCCTTCTACTTACAATTGGTTTTTCTTTTAGTTCCTTTTCTAATTCTTAAAGTTGTAGGATTAGATAGTTTATTAGAAATTTTTCTTGTTTCTTGAGGTAGGCCTGTAATGCTCTGAACTTCCCTCTCTGGACAGCTTTCACTGTGTCCCATAGATTTTGTGTTGTTCTGTGTTCATTTTTATTAGTTTCCAGAAAGTTTTTTTTATTTCTTCCTTGTTTTCATTGTTTACCCATTCATTATTTAATAGCATGCTATTTAGCTTTTGTGTGTTTGAATGTTTTTGAGTTTTTTTATTGTAGTTGATTTCTAGTTTTATGCCATTGTGATCCGAGAAGACGCTTGACATGATTTCAATCATTTTGAACTTGTAGAGACTTAGTTTGTGTCTTAACATGTGGTCTATCTTTGAGAATGTCCCATGTGCGCTTGTGAAGAATGTATATTCTGCTGTTGTGTGGTGAAATCCTCTGTAAATATCAATTAAATCCATCTGATCTAGTACGTTGTTTAAGGTCTCTGTTTCCTTGTTGACTTTTTGTCTAGAAGATCTATCTAGTGATGTCAGTGGGGTATTAAATTCCCCTACTATGATTGTATTGTTGTTGATCTCTCCCTTAAAGTCCTACAGAAGTTTTAAAATATAATTTGGTGCTCCTATATTGGGTAGATATATATTTACCAGGGTTATATTCTCTTGTTGGATAGATCTCTTTAATATTATATAGTGTCCTTCTTTCTCTCTTGATATGGCCTTCATTTTGAAGTCTATTTTATCAGATATGAATATTGCTACCCCAGATTCTTTTTTGTTTCCATTTGCATGGAAAAAATTTTTTTTCATCCCTTTACGTACTTTTATCCTGTGTGAGTCTTTTGTTGTGAGGTGGGTCTCTTGTAGACAGGATATATATGGGTCATGTTTTCTTATCCATTTAGCTAGCTTGTGTCCTTTGATTGGAGCATTTAATTCATTTACATTTAAGGTTTTTATTGATAGGTACTTACTACTTGCCATTTTAAATCATTATGCCTATGTTTCTCTCTCTATATTTCTTATTATTATTACAGCAGTCCCTTTAACATCTTTTGCAATGTGGTTTGGTGGTAATAAATTATTTTAACATTTTTTTTTTTTTTTGGTCTTTGATTGTCTTTATTTCACCTTTTATTTTGAATGATAGCCTTGCTGAATAGAGTAGTCTTGGTTTCAGATCCTTATTTTTCAATACCTTGAATACTTCATGCCAGTCCCTTCTGGCCTGCAGTGTTTCTGTTGAGAAAAATGCTGACAGCCTTATGAGAGCTCCTTTGTAGGTACCCTGTTTCTTTCTCTTGTTGCCTTTAAGATTCTTTCTTTGTCTTTAATTTGTGACATTTTAATTATGATATCTCTTGGTGTGGGCCTCTTTGTATTCTTCTTGCTTGGATCTCTCTGTGCTTCCTGAATTTGTATGCCTGTTTTCTTCACCAAGTTAGGGAAGTTTTTTGCCACTATTTTTTTCAAACAGGTTGTCTAACCCTTGCTCCCATTATTCTTCTTTTGGTACTCCTATGATGTGGATGTTATGTTTCATGTTGTCCCACAGCTCTCTTAAACTATTCTCCTGTCTTTCAATTATTTTTCCTTTTGATTCTCTGATTGAGTGATTTTTTTCTATCCTGTCTCCTAATTCCCTGATCTGATCCTTATCTTCTTTTAATCTGCTATTTATTCCTTCCATTGTGTTCTTTATTTCTGCTGTCATTCTTGATTTCTGAAGGTTGTTTTTTATTGTTTGTATATTTTTTCTCATGCTATTGACCCTCCTTACAATCATTACTCTGAACTCTATATCTGATAGCTCACTTACCTCTATTTCTTTGGAATCTAGACAAGATTTTAAACCTTTCACAAAAATGAATTCAAAATGGATCATAGACCTAAATGTATAATACAAAACTATAAAACTCCTAGAAAATAACCTAGGAGAACAATCTAGATGAGCTTGGGTTTACAGATGACTTTTTAGATACAACACCAAAGACATTACCCATAAAATAAATACTTAATAAACTAGACTTTATTAAAATTTAAAAATTCTGCTTGAAGAGAGAATGAGAAGACAAGGCACAGACTGGGAGAACATAGTTTCAAAAGATACATCTGATATAAGACTGTTATCAACAATACATAAAAAACTCTTAAAGCTCCACAATAAAAAAATGAATAATCTTACTTTAAAAATAGGCAAACTATTTG